AAAGTAAATGACTTTGTGTATTCCATATAATATGAACAAACTAACTTGTCAGAAGTGTTCTAGCCTGAGAGCATACCACACGCAAGAAAGTCATCAATTGTCCAAAGTAATGCTGCATTCGTTATGAAGTTTTGTTTGGTGAAGATATCATATGTACTTACTGTCTCTTTCCATAATAAATTTAAATCAATTAACGGTTATAAGAATACATTGATTTTTGTTTTTGGATTGTGGTCTTGGAATGATAAGCGTCAGAAACATGTTAGAAGTAGTTATATACAACTCCGGGGGAAGATTGTAAGGGGTGAGTATCATGGGCCAGCAGATGAAGCAGACTGGCTAAATAGAGTAAAACCATATGCGCATTAACCTAATCTTGCATTTCTTGATTATGTGACGAATATGGAATGTGTCCGATCAAAGTTTTTCCAAACCTCTTATTTGAACGAATGTGTAGATGTGTTTATTATATCATCTCATATGTGCAACATATCTCATGGATGCATATGACTGTCATAGTCTAGGAATTATGGGTAAGTAAAACATCCTACCAACTGGTATTTCCTTTAGCTTTCTTTTCGTTACAGATTTTGATTTAAATTTTAGTGCATTGCAATAACGACATACAATTTTTGATAGATTATCTTTATAGTATAACATGCATCCATTGACACAACAATCTATTTTATGTCAAACCAAGTTTGAAAACTAACTTCTTTGTTCGATATAAATATGTAGGAATTATGTTATCTATCTGGTTGATTTTCTTAAGCATCCAAATGAATTGATTAAAACATTCACATGAGGATATTATATTCTTCCTTGATGCTTAACATCTCCACAGCAATGAATACCCCTGAGTGAGTGGTGCACCCCTTCCATATTGGTTGTTGGGCAGCATGCAACAAATTATAAAAGATTTGTCTTGTTATTTAATTATTCTTCTGTATATTGTTCAAATTGTGCTCTCGTTACATCATGAAGTCTTTTAGATCTGGTAAGATATTTTCTTCCTCAACTATAAAGAACTTATAGACGGGTAGCATCGAGAATTAAAATGTGGCTCATACTCACCATGAGATGTCCAATACCAATATTCTGGCATGAACCCTCTGTGATATAAATCAACATTTATATTATCTGCTCTTATATGCACTTGATTTTTATGTTTTGAACATGGACATCGAAACTTTCCATATGAGATGAAGCTGGGCAGTATTTCACTGTATAAATGAAAAAGTTCTCCCCATTAATGAACTCATTTGTTAATGTCTTTCGTCTTTGAGCTAGTCGGTTATACATCTAACTTCTTTGATTTCTAATATCCATAATATAACCTATATATAATATGAAGAAATTAGATATTGTTGGAAAATCTGTTGATAGAAAATACATGGATTTCAATTTTATTTGTAAATCGAATGGTATTATTTTTCACTGGTACCTCTGCTAATGAAAAATATAGCAGCCTCCCAGCATCTCTCCCATTTAGGAGAGATATAAATAGTCTTAGCCTACTCGCCAAGTCAAGAAAGACGTGTACTTTCGGTGTCGGGTGACACCGCGGTCGTGCCCTTCAATCCTACCATGACTAGAAAGGCATGTATAGGTCTTCAGGGGGGTACCTATGTGAAAACGCTGTTTGCGCCAGAGATATTTCCAACGGATTAATTGAATTTCTTGGCGTGTGAAAATGTAGTTTACGTGACATAACGCTC